ACATTACTTGTTTTAAAATGCACCAGTTTCATCTTTGGGTCACTTAAAGGGCTTGCCCAACCCGACTTACACATTAGGGCTTGCCAGGCCATAGAACTATTCTTACGGCCTAGACAGGACCAAAGAGTGGGCCAGGTCTCTAGCATCTAGAGATGGGTCTGACTCAATCCTAGCACCTGTCTGCAGACTGCTGCCCCTATCCCGAGCCTAGGGCTCCTATTATTATTTTCCAAGAAAATTAGCCAAATTGGGCACTTGACTCAGTTGATTCTCTAAAAACTCAAGCTTTGAAACTTTGGGGAGCCCAAGTCAACAATTCTTAACACTTATTTTGAGGCCGAAATATCCAATTAAATGTAGGACCCGGTTTCTATGCGCCCAAGCCTACATATGTAGAAATACGGGCCTCTTAATAAATCTATTTTTGAGATGGATTTTAATACTTAATTTTTAAGGACATTTAATCTCTAACATGGAGATCATGAATACGAAACAATAAATAAATTTTAAAAACTAAAAGTAATAATTCTAGTAGGAAAACATTTGGACCGTTAGTTTCCATTGTTTTTAGATGGAACATCTACTTGCATCCATCTTAAAGATGGATACTTTACACTTTCTAGACCGCACATGTGGAAATGTAATCTAGCCCACATGAAACAATTTTTCTTAAATGTATTGCTAGAAGCAAATCATCATCATCATCATCATCATCATAGCCATTTCCCAATTAATTGGGGTTGGCTATTGCTAGAAACAAATATTCTCTAATAAATAGTCTAAAATATAAAATTTACATTCTTCCTAATTCCCAAGAGCAAAAGACTACCTAAAAAATGCCCACCTACAAAAGTTATTGGAAAAAAACTATATAAAGGCAAGACTCTAAATAATCAAATTAAGGCTTATCTCAAAAATTCAGTAGAAGAGGTTGTTTCGATGCTTAGAAACCGTTAATTTAATCATCTCGACCTCAATATGTATGGACATGAGTAAAAATATATTTCAAGTTTTGAAAATAGGGCATCTTGTATGTATTATTCTGACTGTCAATTTTCAAGTATTCATAGATCTACTCGATTTACATTATTTTTTAATCTTAAGTTTTATAATTAAAGGTGAAAATAAAATTTCAGGTCATCATAAAGATTTATGATATTGAAACACCAAGTTTCGACACTATTTGAAGGTGAGTGGCAGCCTTACTTTGATTGGTTAGAGCCTTGACCTTATACAAACCACACCCAAAGTTATATGGTTGAGTTGTCAAATGACATGGCAGGGAATGCCTAAAGGCCCAAGGACCACCGGATAAACTTTAGGGCAAATTGCATAAAAGCCCATTAAAATGGACTTTCTAGTCAATTTACCCCGACCTAACTTTTTCTAGCAACTTCCCCTCAAAAAACCATCTTTCCTAGCGAATACCCCCAATACAAAAAGTTTATTTTTTTTGACGAAAATACACTTCCCTTATATAACAAATCATTTTCGCTGGAGAGGGCGGTCTGGCATCTGGAAGAGGTTGTCCGGTGATTATTTTGCTAGAATGGGCAGTTGGGCGTTTCAATGTGGTGGTCAGACGATTATGCTATTAGAGAAATGGGCAATCCGGCATTTTGAAAAAGCAGTTCGGCATTTTGAAGGTGCAGTTCGGCGTTTTGAAGTGGCGGTATGACATTTTGAAGGGGAAGTTCGGTGTTTTAAAGTGGCGATCGGCATTTTGAAATGAGCAATCTGGCGTTTTGAAATGAGCAATATGGCGTGGTACAAGTGCGGTCCAGTGTTTCCTTTTATTGGGATACGAAAATGATTTGTTATGTTCGGGAAGCGTATTTTTATAATAAAAAAAAAATGAACTATTTGTATTAGGGGATATTTGCTAGGAAAGATGGTTTTTAGGGGGAAAGTTGCTTAAAAAGTTGGGTGGGGGTAAATTGATTAGAAAGTCTATTTTTGGGGGTTTTATGCAATTTTCCCAGGTACAGTTTGTACAGAGCTTAGGCTCTAAACAATCAAATTAGAGCCTAACTTCAACTAGTGTTGAGATATGTGGTTTCAATACTGAAAATCTTTGTGATAGCCTTAAAAAATATTTTCATATTTATTTATAAAGTTTAAAGCTTAAAAAATAGTGTAGATCGACAAATCTATAAAACTCTTGAAAATTGACGGTCTAAAAATGCGTTACAAAATACACTATGTTCAAAACTTGAAATCCATTTTTTCTCATGTCCATACATCTTG